ACATAATTATACTAAAAATTAGACTTAATAATCTTCATTATAAAATAGCTAAAATAAGTTAAAATTTTAGTTTAATTATAAATTTTTATTGTTGTATTCATTCTCAAAATTAAACAAATTCTTCCACTCTGTTGATTTTTTTAAATTATAACTTATATATAAAAAGTTTTAAAAAAATTTTTTTGATGAAAAGGAAAAAGGATTTTTTTTTATTTCATATTGATATTTTCATTACAACCAACATACATTCTGATTACCTTTATATTTTGTTTTCATATTATAAATTTACTGTAAATAAACTTTGATAGAATTAATATCATTTTTACTACACCAAATTTCTTAATCAGGAAATTTGATAATTAAATTCCAAAATCATAATAAAAAACTTTGACAATTTATTTATTAATATTATTATTATAAATTTTTTTTGTATTTCTAAATATTTAATATATGATTCTATATAAAAGACTGAAAAAAAAAAAATCTATATTTTAAGAGTTGGATTAGAAATGATTATTAAACTTTTATGAAGCTCTTTAAGAGTATTAAGCATTGGATTGTTATAAGGAAAAAAAGAAATGAAATAGTTTAAAGACGAAACCTATATTAAAAAGAAATAAAAAGTTAAATATAGGTTTCCTTTTATCATTGCAATGTAATTAATATACATACCCATTTGGCTAACATAGGCGACCATACTCTTATCTCTTTATCTGTTGAGCTTGGATCAGGATGTTTAAGATAAGATGGTCCGTATTGTTGAAATATACTGTTTCCTAAAACAGTTCTTAAGTATTTGAAAGATATAAACTGTTAATTAATATACAGAACTATTACTTAAAAGATTACAATAGAAGAATATATACCCAAATAGTAGACTAGCCAATTGAAGCCAATTTTCACCACTTTTGATCGTTGCATAGTATACAAGTTGATCAACAATGTACAAATATTGAAATTCAAGGTCAACCATTTTCTTTTTATCCTATTTAATTTCAAAGATTAAAGCTTGCAAGAACAAGGGAAAGTAAATATATAACATTATTTATTACCTCATCATTGGTCTCGGCTGTAGCAAAAAGTTGCGTATTACTGTTAAAATTACTTAAAAAGCGAACAGTATGATTTTCGAGAATACTGTAAGTATATGATGATTTATAACCAGATGCTAACTGAATAATAAAAATAAATTCAAATAAAAATTAGTGTTACCCGGAATTTTGTATAAAAAATATAACCTTATTCTGAGACATACTTGAAAACTTGAGATATGACCAAAACTTATTCTTAAAGGAACCCAATAATTTTCAGAAGGTCGCTTTTTATTATAAACGGTCACATTTTCTTGTATATATTTTTCCTGTAAATTAG